ATCAACGGCGTGATAAGGCGCCGAAATCCACTTCCGGGAAAAACACCTCCGTCGATGTGGAAGGGGTGCATGGCAGCGTGCTAGATATGATACCGTTATCGTTATCGTCCCGATTTTCATTCTGGAGTGCACCTCATTCAAGCAGCCGTATCATCTTATCATACTATGTTATATCTTCCATGGGGCTACACTCGTTCAATTAACAATCTCACCAAAAGGTCATTTGGTCAACCCGGCCAATTGAAATGAGATGTATATGTCTATACGCGCCTTGGGACGCTGAGCTCAAATATGTGTTCCTTATCTGCTGAACTCTTCTCTGAAAGGAATTATGAAGCAGAAAAGCGCAGGGGCTGTGGTCGAGGCTCACGAAAAAGAGGTCAGGGGATCGACTCCTGGCGAGTTTGTTCTTTTGCCGTTTGCAGTAAGATAGCTAGGAAGATTCCTAACATCGCTAGTCCAACATGCTTGCGTATAGTTAACAGTAAAAAGAATTTAAGGGCAATTAATAACGAACTTGGGCGGCACCGCTCCTCACTACTTTGGGCGCTTGTAGCGCAGGCGCCAGGCATTTTTGCTTCGAACAAGTATGATATTCGTAATCAGGGAGTCAGACTCTCCCTTTGAGCAAACTTCTAGCGAATTCTGAAATTTTGACCTAACCTCGAAAATTTGGGCAGTCACTTACTCACCGATCCACCAATCCATTACAAAAGGCTGGCACTTGGGTAGAATAAACCTTTCTAAACACTTTTCATAATAGACAAAAATTGTGTCTGGCTTGCCCGTCTGCATCATCCAAAGATCTGCAAAGCATTATTTCCTAATACAACCTTCTCTCCCTCCCCCGTCGTCCATGATTGGTCAACCCAAAAAGTGGAGTTTGAGGAGTGGTAATCCCATCACTGCTCCGCTTTTTCTCAATTAGTTCATGACCTCAGGTTTGGCGAGAAACTTTTTAAGGGTAGTTTGATCCCCTGTATGCGACAGCACCTGCACTGCGGGCACCATGGGCACCCACAGACAAGTAGTGCTTAAACTTAATAAGAATCTGCTTGCAAACTCTTCGTAGAAAGGCGACCGTTGATAAAATAACGGATTCAAAAAGGCTTTTCAGCCATGTTGAAAAAAAGCAAAACACAAACCCCGGAAGGAACCGAACCCGCGACCCTTCCTTGAGAAAAGACCGCTACCAACTGCGCTACCGAAGCTCACCTCATGGTGCCTCGGTTCTCCTTTCGATACTTTTATAATGCAGCTAACATGTGATTGCAGGCAAGACACTGAAAATCAAGGGCGGCAACAAAAACCCTCCGTAACTCCTTTCAGAGAAGAGTTCAGCAGATAATGAAAGCAGATTTGAGTTCAGCGTCTCATGCTGCGTACAGAAATGTGCACCTCATTTCATTTGGCCGGGTTGGCCTAATGACCTTTCCTGTTCAGACCTTATCGGTTGATAACGCGAGGGTAGTAGATCCAAGTGGAAGCCTGCGTGATCGTTTCCTTGAAGCGCTTGACGCAATACATGTGTACAAATAATGCAGTACCCAACACCTTTACAAAAGCCACAGTTTCTGAAATTGGAATGTCGCGTTGAAGGGCGAAATATTTGATTCTTGAAGATATTAAAACGTAAATCGAGCATTATTTTGGACTGAAAGGTCAAGATTTGCTTATAAAAGAAGCTGCATTGTAGTTGTAGTTGATGATTTCTTCATACGCTACCCTCGCTTCTGCTACCCAATATGTAATGTCATATCCGTGCGGATCCTGTTACGTCTAGGTTGGTTCTGAGGATGAATAATCAGGCCTGTAAGCGCTTCTGATATTCTGATCTGATCGAGGACAAGCGAAAAAGCTTCAGGGTGCAATTATATTCGCGATCATTCTTTTGTCCCTTGTTTGTTATTACTGGGTCTATTAGAATATCACCAGTTTAGCGCGCACGCATTCGCGTGCATCACACGGGACTGCATTGGTATGAAACAGGGCCATTGATATTTTTATAGTTCACCGTGGGAAACTCCGCAAATCCTCGGTGGCGCCCACAATAGCATTTGGCCCCATTCCTTCGCCAACCTTTATCCACTTTTCCCAGCCTCTGGGCTCTCTTTTGAACCTCTGTAATATCACGTGACAAACTCCGCCTACTTCAACGCACGCTCCACCCACCAATAGCAGTTGATCTGCCTTCCGTTGACGGACTCAATCCACTTTTTTCGGTCCTCAAGACTTCTTGGAGCCGAGTTACAAAGTTCGGATAACTCCGCCCCCTTTGGTGCACGTCCCACCCACCAATAGCAGTTGACCTCCCTTCCGTTGTCGGACTCGACCCACTTTTTCCCGGTCTCCTGGACTTCTCGGAACTAAATTATAAGTTTAGGGCAAACTCCGCCCACGTTGGTGCACGCCCCACCCACCAATAGCAGTTGACCTCCCTTCCGTTGACGAACTCAATCCACTTTTTTCCCGGTCTCCAGGACTTCTTGGAACCGAGTTATGAATTTTCGTCGCAAACTCCGCCCACTTTGGTCATGCCCCGCCCACCAATGACAGTTGGCCTCCACTCCTCCACCCACCTCTATCCACCTTTTTCCCGGTCTCCGGGACTTCTTGGAGCCGAGTTATGAATTTTCGTCGCAAACTCCGCCCACTTTGGTCAGCCCCGCCCACCAAATACGGTTGACCTTCCTACCGTTGGTGCACTCATTCCACTTTTTCCTGGTCTGCTGGGCGGGGGTCTGAGGGCGGGACATGACCAAAAAGGGCGGAGTTTGCGACGAAATTCATAACTCGGTTCCAAGAAGTCCTGGAGACCGGGAAAAAAGTGGATTGAGTTCGTCAACGGAAGGCAACTGCTATTGGTGGGTGGGGCGTGCACCAATGTGGGCGGAGTTTGCCCAAAACTTATAATTTAGTTCCGAGAAGTCCAGGAGACCGGGAAAAAAAGTGGAATGAGTCCACCAACGGAAGGAAGGTCAACTGCCATTGGTGGGTCGGGGTGTGCTTCAAAGTGGGCGGAGTTTGCGACGAAATTTGTAACTCGGATTCCAAGAAGTCCCGGAGACCGGGAAAAAGGTGGATAGAGGTGGGTGGAAGGAGTGGAGGCCAACTGTCATTGGTGGGCGGGGCATGACCAAAGTGGGCGGAGTTTGCGACGAAAATTCATAACTCGGTTCCAAGAAGTCCTGGAGACCGGGAAAAAAGTGGATTGAGTTTGTGAAGGAAGGAAGTCAACTGCTATGGTGGGTGGAGTGTGTAGCAATGTGGGCGGAGTTTGCCAGAAGACTTAGACACCACTAAAGACTTTAAGACTTTTGAGGACTTGTAAAAAACGCCGTGTAGAACACATAGGTTTAGAGCGCGCTCCGCCCATTGTGGGCGGGCCTCCGCCCACGTCATGTATGCTGGGAACACCTTAGACATTGCTCCCCTACACCAATTTGTTTTCTGCTCTGTAGGCTTTCTCCCAACCGAGTTATGAAATTTTTCATAAAGCACTGCTTTTTTGGAGAACGCCCCGCCCACCGGGGGTGGGTCTCCCTAATTCGATCTGACTTACCAATGCACACCTTTACCCACTTTTTCCCAGTTTCGAGGCTGTTTTGGATGAATTGAAATCTTGGTCGTCAGTACACTCATTTCGATGCACGCCACGCCCACTGTGGGCGGGGCTCCGCTTAGCTGATGTGTGTTTTGTACTTCTCGAGACCTTGCCCACCCATCCCACACTTGACCCGGTCTCTCCAGGCGGATCCCCAGGAGCTAGGGAATTTCGTGACAGACAGACAGACACACACAGACAGACAGCGCTTTATATTATTAGGTACCGGATATCTTAATGTCGTTTTTCTGAGTTCAGGATGTTTCGGGGCCAATTACCATGAAAAATCAAGTTTCTCAGAACGTTCTCTTTGCTTATTAATACTACGTAACATGTTGCTTATTAGTCCCTATTGTTACTTTACAATTTATCTCTCCCCCAATTTTTATACCTTTTTCTGAAAATTCCTGGGTTCATTGCGCAAATTCGTATGTGTGTACCAAATGCCATCAAAGTCGGGCTGGGAGCTACAGATCCGCCAACCAAACTAACATTGCTTTTGTTGGAAGGAATACTACCGTTTGGAATGCTCAACGGTTCTCCTCAGGTTTCCTAAAAGACAGTGAAGTTTTTGAAAGGATGCCGGCAATCGTCTTCAAAAAGATGGCCCTAGTTAAGCCAGCTGAGAAGGGGCTGCACCAGACTTGTGCTGAAATGGTAGGATACTTTCACTCTGATGGAATGATGATGCGCAAACATTCCTATGGATTTGATTCCGCAAGATATTCTGATAAATGTGTTCACCTGCCCCTCACGCGCGCTCAAAAAGGGTGCGTTTTTGACCCTATGTTGCAAAAAAGTCTCCGTAAAAAACTGCCCACTTGGGCTGATAAGTTCTAATTTTTCTGTCGTGCAATGCAGACCCTACGCTAACCAGCTGTACACTTACTTTGTCCAGGCCTTACTTTTAAGCAAGTAACAGGGATGATTTATCAGAGGATGTCAAAACCGACCTGCCTCTACTTTTTAACTCAAAAAATTCCGAGCTTGGATCGTGCAAGGTTGCCACTCTAACTGTTAGATGAGGGGATCCTAGTAAGTCATTTTATGATTAAACTAACTCCCTCCCCGGGTTTTGAACTGAAATATTGCTGGTCCAATACTCTTGGTGAAAAAACGACATTAAGATATCCGGTACCTAATAGTAGGGATAGGTCGCGATGGTATAAGTGGCAAGTAACGCGCTTACCACATGCGCGGGGCGGGGATCGAATCCTGTGGAGTGGGTACCGCATCCCAAAAAGGGATTGATCAATGGCATATGCTTTATGCTTGCTCTTTGCTTCATATAATTTGATATTATTTTTGATAATTTCAGATTAAAAAGGTTACGGCCACGTGTCAGAATGTAACACCAGTGAAGGATGTGGATCTGAAGCGTGAGGCTTCTGGGTTTATGGAGACATTTTGTTATCTGGAATATATTTCCAATAGTTGCAACATAGCTGATTTCATAAATATGTGGCTCTCCATAATTGACAGCATGGTTAGTATCAATGCTTATAAAACCTTGTTGATCAAAATTACTGGAATTTGACTGTAGGAAATCTGTGACCGCTCAATCATTTTTGCTGCTGCACTGCTTCCCCGTTGTGGAGTCTCGACGTTGGACAAGTGTTTCAGGATTGTGCAAGGATTAATTGAGCGCTGTCCTGAAGCCGTAAGTACTTTTCGGGTTTTTACATATACGAAAAGTATTTCCAAGTTGTAGGTTAACACATTTCTAATGTTCTACAGCATGCTTTATTCAAAATCATACTTCGAAGTAGATAGGCGAACAGTTCTGAATGCCATCCGTGGTCTTTTCATCAACAGGGTAAGTTGGATCATTTCATCCTCAAATAGATATGGTGAGTAGGAGCACACTGATTCGTTGCAGTTTGCTGTCACTCCGGCTGTCAATTTTCTGTCGCTAGTATGTCGCCAGCCTGGTAAGGAACGCAGCGTTGCTTATGATCTACTCTGTGATTTGGTTGCAAAGTATGTGAACATTTACATTCGCGTTGCTTTTGAAAACAACTTGAGCGCTTCACAGGTTTCCCACCGCTTTCGATGTTGTGAAACCACTGGCGCATCCAGCTGAGTCGGATTCTCCTGATCTGCTTGAAGACAAACTCAAGCTTATGGCCGCTCTCTGTATTTCTACGTACGCCAATGATCTTGTTCCACTAAAACTTTGTTCTGGTATTCCTGCATACAAATCTTGCATGAGTTTCTTCATATCACAGCATTTCAGTGACCGATCTGATGAACTTCTCCCTTCTCTTTCCGTTCTGCTAAAGAAAGACGCTACAGTGGTCAAAGCGGCTATTTCTGTTGTTCTTGCTCTCTGCAAAGAAGAGGTCCAGTTATCATTTGATCAAGCCTGCCTAGGTTTTGGAGCATTGAACATGTTCCTTCTTCCGTTTCTTCATTACCCAAGCTTCTCCCTTTTGAGCTTTTCTCTCCGAACCACTATCCCCTGCACTGGTTTCAGCTGATCGTGTTACAGTGCTTGTATTTTCTCTTCTTGTCTACTAATTCGAATGAAATTTCAGAAAGCGATTGCAAGCTTTTCAGATTCTTGATGTGAGCACCATTCGGAAGCAGCTAGGGAGCCGAGTTCGGCAGACTGGATTTGAGGTAGCTCTTTCAAGTTACTGCGACATTCTTGCCACGAGCGCCGCTCTATCTGGAGAGGATGAAGAGGTTTGGAGGTTCATGTTTCCTTATTTCTTGTACTTCGCTTTATTGTCTTGCAATTTTCTCACATATGATGACGCATCTCTACAGTGTTTCGCTTGTGGTGGTATCATCACTTAAGTTACGGCTCAAGTCCAGTCCAACCGTAACCTTGTTCACATGATCCTATACATATGATGTGGTCGACTGCTATCAGCCTGCTAAATCCCTAATACGTTATACAGTCTCGCATTCCGTAAGCATTAATATCTCTACCACTCGGATGTGAGGCAAGCGTGAACAACAGGGGTGGTTACATGCCCAATTCATAGGCTGTATTTGATCATTCGTCCTCCAGCTACAAAGGTTACGATTTAACTTAGCTTTAGGCGCTCACATTGCGCCAGTCTCTGCTAACATGGAAAGCAATTTGGGTCGCCATAGCCATTGAAGGTGAATGTGTACCAGGGTGAATATTGCTTGAGGATTCCTCAACGGCACGTCGAGGATTTTCGCCTGATCCTTTACGTTCTCGCGCGCGGATATTCACTCTCGCCCCCGCGAGCCGTCTGTGCTCTCCGCGCGTACATTCACTATCGGCTCTACTCTCGCACAGCAGAGAGCGATGGTCGAGGAATTCCTCGACCGTTATTCACCCTGATGTGTACTCGTATATACGTTTGAAACGCTGATCTTAAATCTGCTTTTTGAATCTGCTGAGCGATTTTTCCGAAGAGTCATGAGACCGAAGAACGCAGCAGCTGGGCCGAACTTTTGGGCAGGAGATCGCGGGATCGGGTCTTTGAGTTTACTTCTTTGATTCCATTGTATGCTGCACTACAAAGGTTTTTTACTCGTTGCATCATAAATGCTTGTCTGTAATTACCCAATAATAAGTGCAAGATGTCGGGGTCACTTGCCCATGGCTGCTCATAGACATGCGCAAGTGGTGCTTAGAGTTCATCGTGAAGTTATCTTGCAGGTAAGTTTCATATATTGTACGAGCCACGTTTGCATAACCGTTTAAGAGGGGAGCGAAAAAGGCAAAACCTTAAACCCGCAAAGAGCCCGATCCCACGAGCACTTGCCCAAGAGCTCGCCCCATTATCTCTTCGCTTTGCAGCTTCATAGCTCCTTTAGGGATTCCCTTAGCAGGTTTGGAAGGCAGGTCAGAAGCCAGCATTCGACGAAACATATAACAATACGAAGCCGTCTGTCAGCTTCAAAATCTGGCAGTTGTTTGCATTGTTGAACTGGTAGGAGGCTATTAGTGCTACATACAGGTCACATAGTGAGCTTCTGTAAGGAACTCTCAGCGACAGTCATTCTAGGTGAGCAACAGGGACAAACCGGTGTCTGCCTTATTTGTCTCATTAAGCTATTATCCTCTTTGTTTTCTCTTGAACGCTTTTCACCTCCTCCGCATCTGAACAATTGGTGATTTTTTGTGAAACATTCTCTTGTTTTGATGGCACGGAGACAGTAGGAACTACTGTGAATATTGACATTTGCGTCATTTGAATTCGAAATGATACTGGTTCGATTCTTTCCTGGTGTAGAAAATTAATCATCATCAATTCGTTTCAGACCCTTCCTCAAGAATGTGTCGTCGAATTGTGGGAGATTACTCAGCTTCGCAAAAATTGTCCGACCACTGAGGAGGCTCGGAGAGCTGCATGGACTGCATTAGGTCGGATTCGGTTTGCATTTTTTTGAAACAGTTTTTCAAAAGACTGGTGCTTTGAGGCACTTGTTATGATACTTCATTTATTTATTTATTTATTTCTTGCATGTACGCTTGGCACATGAGAGAAATCTTGACCAACGGAAAATATCAAAACAAGTACCCAATACTGGAAAGAGCCTGCAAAGCAATAAAAGAAACAGCAAACAAAAAAGTCGTGATCTCTTTGAGGTAGCAGGAAAAAAAGGTGATGGTAGCTCTGCACGCTGAAAGGCCTCAACATGTCCTCATATGAGGCAACGTACTTTCAGGCAAGATGAATTTTTTAGACAATTTTGTAAACTCGGTAGGTGAAGAATTGGCCCTAATTTTCGTCCTAGGTCGTGCAACAGATCAATACTTGCTCAAAACATTGCTACGGTAAAGTTTTTATGGTGCCTAGACAGTTGGCTCATCGTTACGCACTAGTATTTTGACGAGTTGGTTTGAAAGTGGCGAGAATATTGCATGTGCTAACATGAAGGAAGAAGTCTACAAATTAGCATGGCTTCGCTCATACAATGAGTTATAATGGTTTGTTAGCAACTCTGCCGTTGCAACTCTCTGCGGATAGCATACGGCACTATGTGGCACATAAAAATCATACTTTACTAGTAAGCACCACCGTTTGAGTAATGCTCTACTCACTATATACAGCTTCCCAAACATGACTTGGCAACCGCCCACCTTTATCATTTTTCGACCGGGGTTGGGAATGTTCTAGATCCGAATTAGAAATTTTCACCCTCCTTGCCGCCCATTCCCGCATTTGCCCTCCCTGGTCGGGGCTCCGATGGTTAGCCTTCATGTGTTTTGTTAGGTTGTCGGAAAAGTTTGCGCATTTTCTTGTTCACCTTGCAAAATCTTTTGGGATCGTTTTGAAACATTCACTGTTAAACGCATGTGAGCGGTGGTTAATGCTCTCTCCACAGCATTTCTGTCGTAGCATTTCGCAGCGTTTGAAGCTTAAAAATCGTCTTTCACTGAAGGTATGTTCGACTGCTCCTGCCTTTATAAGCCCACAAAATGCGTCGATTAAGCGAATAGAGAGTTGTATAGCATCTCCGGACTATCTTTCACAATATGCCAATTATTTGGTTGCCGGGTTCCAGACACTTGAGAAAAAAACCACAATCTGGTCTGCCTGCCATCCTCATTGACTAGTGTATTTGAACTCGATGAGAGAGAGGACCTTAGTCAATGCACAATATGGTGAGGCTCTTTCAGTGCTAACCGCGACCACAATGGCCGTTCTCAATAATCGCTCAAAGACGTGAGTATGCGAAAGGTTTTGCTGATCTGACTACCACAGCTATCTTAAAGGACGAATTTACGATGGAAAAGCAACCCATTCCAAATTGAGGTAGAGATGGTGAGTAGTACCAGAAAGAAAGCGAAACCACGAAAAACGGCCCAGAACCGGAGAAATGGGACCCCTTCCTTGTCCGTTGATTTGAGCATTGATGGACTCTCATCGCTTTGCCCTCTTCAACCCTACGCTCTCTCAGCTATCTAATCACTCGCCACCTATTGTACTACGGCGAGTGATCAGACGATCGGTGGGCGGAGATCGCCGAACTCGCCAACTTTGAGCCATGCTAGATCTCAGAGGTCAAATCTTTCGATGCCGATTGCGTGTCTGTCCGCACCCTCAAGAGATTCACCGCTCTCCCCACTAGGCGATTTCTCCCTTCTTCGACCTTCGTTCTTTCCGTGCAATCCTCCTTTAAGCATAAATTTTCAAGAATTTTGATTCCTCCCGTGTGAGCTTATCCGCAACTTTGTGATGGTTGTTGGCAGTGATCTTCAAAACCAGACACGACCAACGCGACGCTCGATGCCGTAGACCAAGGACTGCTACGCGATTAGAGAAGAGTATCATGCCTGCAAATGTTTCGCTCACCGGAGAGCCTTGCTGCCACGAAAGCCACTTCTCTACTGCAGTGAACATATAATTTTGCAAGTGTATTGCTTCTCGGCATGGCCCTGGAAAACAGAGGAACTTTATTACTCGCAATCGTCACGAATACGAGACTCTTCAGGAGAGTCTCCAAGCTCGTTATAGAATGATCTGACCCACTTGCCTGTGTACAGACAACCTGAGTTGAGGACAGGCTTATCCATTTGCCTAGGCTCGTCGAAGTACTGAAAAAGACAGTCTAGACGAATCTACTCGGAGTGACCTCTTTAGCTTTTCGCCCCAAAAGCGCGACTTCCTCTGATACGTCCGCGCAACCTGAGCTGCTTGCTAAAAACCAGTTTCAACGATGATAAATGCGATGAGTCACTCAGTTGTTGCTGCACTATAAGAAAGGAAAACAAGTAAAAAAGTGCTAAAGCGCCAAAGACTTTCGACAACCTATATATTGCTGATTCTATGCATCCCACAGCTTGCGCCATGGTTCCCAGTAGTGGTTTCTGAATAATCCCGGATTGGAGGCAAGCACATACGAGCTTGGCGAATTATTTTGAGTTAAGCAAATATGAAATTAGAGGATCAGCTGAAAAATCTCTGAAGAGTGTTACTATCATTAAGTTAACACCTTAAAGGATTTTCCACAAGGTCATTGATTGACTACCTAATTTGGATGAATTCCGCAATTATGAGGTGTTTTACAGCAAATTTCTGGCTGTGTGCGTGAGAGTTTATTTTGGCAAAATTAGACTTCTGTACCCTATAGCCCAACATCTTCGCATTCCAAGTTTTCGACGCAGTCCTGTGAATATATCTTATGATAACCTCAGATCGGTGCTTCAAGCACATGGATGACAAACTTTTCGATTATAGGGCAACAGAATGGGCTGGGGTCAGGAACCGTTCTATCACTTTTTCTCTTTTCATTTTTCTACAGTTAACTTAACTAGGGCAGAGGCCAGGCCTAGCACTATGGGAATGGGAAGTCACCTTTCAGCTGCTCTTGGAAATTGTTGGCCCCGCTGACCTTGCACAAATACTTATGCCTCTCGATTACTCGCTATATTCTGGAGGTAGTTTTTCATTCCGTTCTGAAAGGTCATCATAAACGATACTAGGAATAAGTATGGGAAAAGTATGTTTAAAGTTTCCCACCGCTGTTTCATTTTCCTATCCATTTCCCACCGTTCCCATCTATTCTCCAGCTACCCTCTTTCTGCTTCTCATTCAGACCAAGAGAAATGAAAATCACCATCGGGGAATCTTCTATAAACGCCACTATTATCAGCACTCATGAGTACCACTTTTTTTTATAACCGCGCTTCATAGCAGTAGCATACATTGAGAGCCATCTAGGATAACCTTCCCCGCTTATTTTCCATCACCTGAACCCTC